GGAAGATACCTATAAGAATTGAGTACGCCAAGGATAATACATAAATAAAGGGTAGTCTACCTATTACTGATTAATAAAAATGTAAAAACATATCAGAATAATAAAAGAATATTTTGTAAGCGCACTATTAAATTAAACTAAACGAATAAAAAATGTTTAAAATAATTACACTTAACGCAGAATACTTTTTCACTTTGTTTACAACTACACGATTTTCGAAAAAAATAATTTAAATATGAAGTATATTTACTGTGATTTCTTATTAATGGTGGCGGGGCGTTCAGGGTCATAAACCATACGTCAAGAGGCACGTAATACCTACATGACCAGTAATAAAAATCTACAAACGAAAGAAGTTCCAGAGATTTCCTAAAAAGTTTGGAACAAGTCGGGAAAGTTCGATGACAATCGAAATTAGATTAAGTATCAACCCCAATTAAAGAGTGAAATAATTACCGAATTGGAATTATCCCTCACTGTTACCTACAATCGGTACACTTTAGTTCATTTACTGTATTGTTTCTTATAGCAAGAAAAGCCCAATCAGAAAAGGATTTAATTTTTAAAATTATTAAATAACGAATAATGAATTCAATTTTACGTAATAATAAATAATGTAAACGTATTACATCTCCTTATTTGCACTGTATCTGTAAGTATAGAGGGTTCCCAGATTACGACTTCAAGTGGAATCAATGCGGTTGAAAAAACCTCAAAGGCTACCCCAAGTATCTTATATCCATGTTGGGAATTCGGACTCGGGATACCATAACTGTCAGATTTTTTGGCATGAGTGTGGCATAGAAGAAATTGACAATTTTCGAAGATGTGTTAGAAAGTGTCACGTGACTTTTTCACCCCAAAAACATTTTTCATTTTGATAAAATTTTCATGTAAAAATCAATATTTACGAAAATATTTGCTTGTATTAAGTGCATTTTGTTCGGTGCCACTCGGGCTTCATTGCTATCAAAAATTCTGCTCGCTTGGTATGAAAATATTTCGGATAGTCTTTGAAGCTTTAGATCTCTATATTTATTTTAATACATTTTGTATATTAGACTTGAAAATATTTATAAAGGTGTTCATTAGACACTGTTTTAAATAAATAATTCATCAAGACGACGCGATGGCCTAAAGCCAAACAATGCTTCAAAATAATAGTCGTGAAAGCCATAGACATTTCTATTTTTTTATTTTATAATGTGCGATGAAATAAAAAATTGTTATTTGGTTTTCATCTGTCTTAATGGACACGATTTCTATTTAATATGATACATGATACTCGGCCCACTTTCTGAATTCTATATGAAAAGAAACAGAAAACACGTCAAGAAATTCTTATTTACAGTATCCATTATATTTTTTAAAATATGACACACTTTCTGTATTAATTATCCATATGTCTAGTATATAGGTTCAAGAAGGTGCAGTTTATAATGCATAATTAAACAATATGCTCCCGTTGCTACTCAAGGTTTTCAAGATAAAGTCAAGTTTAACTGTAAAAGCTGTAAAGTATGATGTAAGTTTAATAATTAACTTAACAAATGAGAAAGGCTAAAACGAACACACATATACATATGTAAGTATGTAATTGAAAGCCTTCTTCAATTGTAAATATAAAGGCAATCATCTACTACAACAAACATCGTACGATTAATAACAAAAAATAACATGCTACAAGTTGTAATAAATGTAGCTATAGTTGGGACGATAAAAATTGGCAAAGTTGGCAATAAATAATGTGTGAGAATGGACGTATATCTTCTTTCTTGTTTCCACTTGGGATTGTAGTAAATTGCTGTTTTGAAGACGCCCTTGTTAAGTTAGGAAATGCTACATGAGTAGTACAGACCAAGTGAAAAGAGATAACCGAATAATAGTAAGCGGTGAAGTGATTAAAGGTTGCTTAGGTACGTAAAAGATCAGGGCCGGCTTTATAATCGCCTGGTTATAATTACATCTTTAAAAAAGTGTCTTTTCTTTCCTAAATTCCTGAGAATGTTGAAGTTTCTTTAAAGTCCGTAGCTGGTAACGTACTAAAATTCTGTTTGTTTGTATCTCTTTCTGTTACACATCAATTGGTCTAATTTTTATTAGTGTCCGCTGCAATTCCTACCTGACATCTCTTTCTTATGTTTACGATATTCCGTACAACGTCTGTCGTGAATAAAAGTAGGCGTTCTGTCAGCAACCGCTCTGGTATAGTTAGTAGGTCCAAAGAAGAAGATAAATGCGCCATGTTATTTCGGACTATGTCAATTTTGAACGTCCTAACTATATGTATAACATATTTAAATGCATCATGGTTATAACGAGGGCTGTAACTTATTGAGTTTTGTCATATCCAGTATAAAAAACATAAATACTACATTAAGACCATTGTTTACCGTTTTTATCACCACATCTGCTATTAATAAATCCTTGTTTTCGCTTATCCACAGGATAGACTAGGTTATAACTCGAATTATTAAACCACAATAAAACACAAAATTGAAAATTCAAAGTAAAAATTAAATATTTTAAAATGTTAAGTATATTTTAAAACTGACCGTGAAATATTTTTATGCTATATTTGATCCCCTATTGTACATAATTTTTTTGTTAATGGTGTAACTAGCTTTCTAAAGTGTATTGCAACTAATGCTTCCTATAAGTTATCCATTTAAAATCAATTTAATTTTAACACATTGGCTATTCGATAATGACATAAAGAATTAAAACATTACAAAAAAATCACACGTTTTTTGTATTTTAAAAGAAGCACTGGATATAACAGTAGTGCAACCCTTGTGATTCAACATATATCGCAAATTATTTCAGGTCTAGACTTGTTCAAATTTAGTGAACTATAAAGCGTTTCCTTTCTAGGTACTACATATGTATTATTAATGCAAATTAATATTTTATTTTTTTTTTTAATTTTCCTACTACAAATTACCACAATTAAAGGAAAATTGTTGCTGTTGTTACACCCTCGCCGGGAATCGAACCCGAGACTTTTGGCTTTCAGCACCAATGCTACCAAACTACTAAACTATGAGAGATGACAACAGCAACAACAATTTTCCTTTAATGAAGGTAATTTGTAGTGGGAAAGTTAAAAAAAAATATGAATTTTCATTAATAATATCACCCCTATTAAATGTAATATTGTCATTGTTATCTCTGTCAAACAAATAAGAAACCATGTTTCGCGTAAGTCTGACTTGTTTACATTTAAATTAATTTCACTAAAATTTTACTTTCCTTCACAATGCTAGTCATTCATTATTATTATTAATGTTTCGCAACATGAGTGGATGTGTTTCGTTTTAAGTGAAAATTACATTTTTTAATAAAGGTGAAGTTCAATGGCTAGAATATTTACGACCCTGACCTACATAGACTAATAAATATCTCCAACCAACTGGTCTTTGCACCGTTCATCAGCTGGTAAGCGACATTATGTTAACAACCTCATATAACATAGGTTGGTACATGCAATTTTAAATGCTAATCTTATCGCAAAGTGAAACTTCATTTGCAAAAATAATGTTTCTTTTGTTTGTATTTGAGGTACGCTCATTTCACACGTTTCATTTGTATTTAAATAGTTTTACATTAATGTTTGTACCTATGTAATATTCCTGCTAAAGACCAACGATTTTTCGTCGAATAAATACGTTAAAACATTTTTCTACAATTTTTGACTGTTTCACTCTGTCAGTTTTACTTTCTATAAAAAAAATATTTTCTGAAAGATTAATGACATTTAATTAATTTGCATTTCAGTATCTTAGACGAATATTTTATTAATATAGTACAGACTCGATAACCCGAACCTCCGCTAATCCGAACAACGAACAAGTTCGAACAGCGCAGGCGTAACAACGTCACCTCGCTCGAGGAATCTTAAATTTTATCCGTCTTACGAAAATATTACGTTAACAGCTATGAAATGGCGTCAAAACGTATACATATAGCATTATAAATATAGACAACAGTTAATATGAACAAAAGTTTACAGACCGAAGCTACGATTACATATTACAAGTTTTTTATGTTCTAGATTTGTTTAAAACATAAAGTTTATATATAAATACCTGAGTCTAATATAACAAACGACTGGCCTTTGATAATCCGAACAAAGTGATAATCCGAAGGATTCTTTGCAATAATTAGTTCAGATTATCGAGGTTGTACTGTACATCATGATTAATTTAATTTGATACCGAAAAATGTACCGTTGGTTCTCACAAACTTTCAATTAACTTTTTTATATAATTTCAAAATTATCGATCAAACTTAATTGCCATATAAACATTAATTTGAGTTTGCTTTCCAGTCATGTGAAAAATACTAGTTTGTACGCTCTTAAGCATGATAACAGACATTTGGCATTGAATTATTGCAACAGCCTCTAGAATGCAGTTAAGTAAGTGATAAAAAAGGCCTTTCTTAATTATTACTTGGTGTAACTTAGTTTGAAAGTAACTTTCTCTATGTAATGATAATATAATAAGTAGCAGGAGTAGTATCATTATACATACTGTAAACTGTATACGTAAAGTTTTTTGTAATCATCCAAACATATCATTTATTATAATAGAGAACGAATCCAACGTCTTAATTTCTTTTGCTATTATCAAAAGGTAAATGACCTTTTAAAATTGTGCTTTATCAGAACAAAATTGATTTATATACGTATTTAATGAACCTACGCATCTGATTCTCCCGCTGTCTGTCATAAAAAGGTGTAATGAAAAATGTGTATATATGTAATGAATTAATTATATCCAATTATTAATAAATAAACATAAATAATTGTTACTTTTCAACAATGAATAAATTAATAATAAACGGATTAATAATAAATACTGTAAAACCTTTCCATATCGGATGTTTGACGATTGAGTCTAGTAACAGTTATCCTGAGGGAATTTATATTATTTGAGAAAATTAGTTATGAATGATACATAAATTTGTAAACGAAATTTTTTATTTCAGGTTTAAGAACTCAATTTTCCTTAACTGTTAAAGGCGAGTAGTCCTTTATTTCTTGATGTTTTTCCAGATACTAGAGATATTATCAGTGGAATATTACGCAATCGTGCACAAAATATCTGGAGAACAAGAACCATGATCAAGCGAAACCAAAATGCTCGAAAATATTTTATGGATTTTGATTATGAAAACTGCATGGAAACAACACAGAATGCTAGATAGAATACATGAGCCAAATATTTCATTGGTTTCTAATCATTCTTTACATCAAATGACACCAAATCGATCAAATCAATACTTTGTAGCAGTGGGACGCTAAAGAACAGACTCAAGTCAAGGCGGTATACCAACTTTTGAACTGTAGCATCCCATTTTCATTCAATTAAATATTATTATCAATTACACATTAGCAAAGCATTGTATTTTAGATCGATTTGATGTCATTTAGTGTGAGGTACGACTAGACCAATCAATGAGTTCAACAATGAACATTGAAATCGTCAATTTATTATGACTATTACCCTTTCAAAAAAATGTTTTGTTTAGTGAGGTAGTCATATTCAAAAATCAAAATACACGAGAATATTTTTGCATAATTAAGCTTTTTGTGGTTTGGTCCTAAGGTCAAAAATTAGGGGCTTATAAACTGCGAATGGTATTCAGTACCTGTTCAATGTTGTTGTAGTAGCCCCAATTTAAGCTAATGCACCATAATCAATATATTAATCAATCAAGTTATGCTTTCAATGTCTAATTTGTTTTTTAACTAGTAAACATTACAAATATTTTATTTGTACAAAATGATTGACGAACTTTACAATTCAAAGGACGGTTTGCTACCCTAATCACAATCTAACCTTTTATAAAAAGCAGTGGAGGGTAAATGTACAGAAATTAAGAAAGAAAATCATTACCTGGGGCGCAAATAGAACTGAGATCGCCTATGTTATATTCTATCATTGCTTTCCTTAAATCTCATTTACAAATTTACAAATATTGATATATCTACCTTCAATATAGACCATGACAGTCCCGGATTTCCACATTGCGCCCCGGATTTTTCTAGAAGCAATATTTTTCCCGGATTGTCCCGAATTTTTGAAAAGGTTCTTATTTTCAATATTTATTTTAAATATATTTCAACTAGAATTATTTTTACAAAATTTGAACCGAAAAAATTGTGCATATCAAAATACGCGGCACGCTTTAAACCACTTGAAGCATNAAAAAAATACTGATTTTTATTATATCCTTAAATAGTATTTATTATGTATAATTTTTTATTAAAAAATCATATTTAAGTTATTTAACTTAACTACCCCCCGCCCGCTACAAGTTCCCGTCCCGGATTTGAAATAAAAGAATATGGTCACCTTAATGATAGGTACTGAAGTGTGACATATAGCTTCTAGCTGAAAGCACTTAATTAGCCTTTAATAGCATAAGTCGTACTTTTTAATTTTATTCCCATATTTATGATGCTTTACTATCTTCACGTAAAGTTTAAACAACATTGAATGTCTATCCCTAATTTTTGATCTTCGCGGGAAGTGGATCCTAAAAATCCTCTTTTTTAAAATCTTCGAAACTTATTTTGGCCATCTTGTTACGCCAATTTTATGGACCTAAATTAAGCACATCCATTCCCGATTAACCGAAGAACCGAAACATATGCATATATAAATAATAATTCAGTTTTTTTATTTTTAAAGGTTTTACTGTATTATCAGACGTTAAATTTTCGCAAAACGTGATTGACCCTCTTAAATATTTGATCAGCCCTTTGTTTGCTTAGTCTCTTGGAACGAGGACGACCAGTACGTTTCGGTATTCTTTTAAGTCGAAACGATGGCAGCGGGCGCTCGGCGGCATTATTATTATTGTTATTGTTGTTATTTATAATAATGACATGAGCACCATCTTTATTTTTGGTTTTCGACAAGGAATCGGTAAATTGTAACTCAACACTGTCTTCAACTTTCGTACTAGACGTTTGCAATGGTTTAGTTTTGAGGGGAAGATTGGGTCGATAACGCAGATTTCCCCGACCACGATTGGGCCATTTGGGCGTTTTAATTATGGGTTTTCGATTTTGATTACGAGATGGAAAACGCCGATTTTTATTGTTAAAACGTCGAGCAATATTCGTATGATTGAAATCTACATAATTGGGATTAATGTTTGATGGGATTAGATCGCCCTGTTCCTCATTAGCACACCATTTGTTTGTAATAACACTATTGACAAAGGGACTTTTAGTATAACTACATTTTGGATTAAATATCTGTTGCTTTTCTGTAATAGCGTAACTGTAATCGTTAGTATAATAGTCATTTGTTTCGTCATCAATAATTTCAGTGTCACCTTTTGATGAGCGTTTAAACCTTAGCGTTCTTTTGACAGATTTAATTTGAAGACTTTCAACTGTTAATTGATAATTCGGATTACTTACGTCATTCTGGTCCTCATAGTCTTTGATTTCATTTGGTCTTCTTTCTTCGTTGCCACTGCTCTCTTCAATTACTGGTGAAGGGGTAGACAAAGAAGCTGCATTTATTTGAAGGGGATGAGCTACGGGCACTAGTAAAGAGTCTAAGGGCTTCGACTGATGAATGGGGTTTATAGCAGGAACCTCCTCCAGTGAATTGGAAGATGAAGTTTGAACATTAGCAGCTGGAAGTGGTGGTGATGGTAGCGTTGGTGGTGGTGCAATGGGATGCCCAGCATCATCAGGAGCAGACATTACATGACTATTAATTTCTTTCATTTTTTCTAAAGCTTCTTGCTGCGCTAAAGCTAGAGCTGCGTGTTGAGTTTGCACTCTTTGGTAAGCATCTTCTTGAGCTTTTCGTATTTGCTCGTCAGCTTGGGCTTTCGAGAAGGAATCCAATTGAAGCTGAAGTTGCTGCAATTGCTCCTGCGTCGAAGCAAGTGGGGTATAGGGACCATTGTGCCTATCATTGTTGGGTGAATATGCTACTACCACGACTGGCTTTATCTGTGGTACTGGAACGTCTAGAGTACTTTCTGCTACTGGTACATATCGTTTCCTTGTCCTGGATGGCATCGTGACGGATAACACCTTGGTTTGTGATTTTAACAGATGCTTTAAACCTTCCAACTGTTCAATGGGACTTTTACCAAGAAGTGAATTCAGCGCTTTCATCTGATTATCTCGCTGTTCATCTTTTTCTGCTCCATTCTTTGAAGAAGTACTGCTTTGAGTTTTATGTCCAATAAAATTTTTAGAAAGCACATAATCAGATCTAGAGACGTCTCGGTTAGTTGCGCCTTTGTCTATTGTTTGCATATCGCCTTGGTTTTCTTTATCGAAATTCGCAGTTCGTGAAAATCTTTTCAGCTCCTGTACCGCGTTGCCTTTTTGATTTCTTAAACTTATTTTAGGCTTTTCCTTCTTCGAAGTGTCTCCAAACTTTGTATTTCTTAAAGACGAAACTATACGGACAAGTGGTTTCTTTTTAAGTAGATTCAAAAGATCCACCTGTTGCTGCTGAAAATACCTCCATTTCTGTTGATCTCGTTGTAAAATTGTTGAATAATTGAAATTCGACCAAGGAGGGACATATCGACTCTTAGGAATTCTATTGCTATCCGATACAGGAATCTCGTTCACTTCCTCGTGCACTTGAGGAAAATGTCCACTTGCATATAATATTGGAAAGAGGCAGGCGAGAAAGAAAAGTATCTGAAAATACAAGTTTTCGTTTCATGTTACGAAGATTTGTGTTGTTTTCTATTTGAACTTCTTATTGGTTGAAGGAATATAAATTATTTGAGAATTTATTATCTAGCGATAAAAAGATCATTTAAAATTGGTATTTTTTATTGTAATGAGTTAATTATATGAAAGAATGAAAAATTAGACGAAAATCAACAATAATATAGTAATTTTGAATGGTTTTACAGGGCACATACATCAGTTAAATGAATCGCACGTCTTCATATTCAATTTTTAACAAAAAACATAATCAGAACATTCTCCAACGATATGATTTTAGGATTACAGATGATTTTTTGGTTACTTAGAACTGCCCACTGTAATTTCCTACTTAATTAAGAAACGGATAAAAATTATGCATAATTCCTATTTAGATCATTTAACTAAGAATCGAGACAATGTCAGCTATCTGTTCTAATTGTAAGTAAAACATAACAAATCATTAATAAATATAGTAAATTATTAGACTTTAACGTAACCAAAAATAGACCACTTTTATATGATAAATACAACAATGCAACTTTAAATCATAATTTCGAAAATTGTGGAATATGTTAAAAAGACCTATGCCACTGTATTTTATCCAAAAAGTTATATTAAGATGTTTCCGGATCTTAACTGATATAAATAGAAATGTGAATATATTTGTTTGTTTGTTACGATTTCCGGTCTTAACCGCTTAACTGATCATGATGAAATTTTGTACACACATTGTCAGGGGTAGATAAAAGGATATAGAGTACCTTTTATGTAAAAAAAAGAATTATTCCCGGAGGATAGAAAAATTAATTTTATGTTCACGTTTTAACTATTGAACCGATCATCATGAAAGTTTGTACACACATGGCTAGGGGTCCAAAAAAGGACATAGGCTACTTTTTATCGAGGGATAGAAAAATTTGCTTTAATTTTTGACACGTATTTAGGGCATCTACGTGAGCGAAGCTGCGGGTAAAACCTAGTTTCCTATAAAAATAAAGAAGATAGAATTTATCAAAAAACAAGGAAAATTGATTAAAGTAATTATAGTGTATTTCGAAAACTTCCCTGCATAAATCTCAAAAGATTAGGTTGTTACCCCTACGTTAATTATATCCCAACGTCTACACTTGATCTGTCGGTCAATACAAATTCAGTTTATAGGTTTATACCTACAATTTTCATTCATTTAATAAGGGCCAAAAATAATTTAAAGAGTATCACTAAAAGTTATACGAGACTCAGTCTCTCAGAACGAACAACTTCTATTACACTTACCGATGGGGTAGTAGCCATCATTATTTATATTTTGTTTAATACATAAACCACTAAGAAACAAATGCGTGAATAAACAAAACTTATCGAAACAACTGCTGATTAGCACATGCAACCTTAATCTTTGGCTTTAGCATTGACACTGAATATCTCACGGCGCTTTCGTTTCTTTATGACATAAACGCATCACTCCCAATGTACAAGAACGGTAACGTTAGCGAGTCTCTATTTCGACAAGACAGTTGCATTAAAATGTGCGAAACTGAAAGTCTTTCTCTCCACATGGCAGCTAGTATACGTACATACGTATATGGATACATATGTGCGTATTGTTTGTGGATCCGAACCGTACATAATAATTATAGTTTTTAGTTTCATGGGAAAACAGCGTGAATTAAATGGAAAGTTTGTGTGAGAATTACGTTCATTCCTTTCTATGGAAATGAACAACACGTAGGTATACTTCAGCATGGACAACTTCCTACTGATTTATGCATTAAAAAATATTTACAAGTGGCGTTACTTTTAGAATTTAAATTAAATAGAACTTTGAATACATTTGCGAGTTTGACACGCGCGCCAGTAGTTTCATGACATATCAAATACGTTCTAGTATTTATGAAAAGGGCAAGACACCATAAGCAATTGCAGGTGAGCGAAATTATGAATTGGTGACCCATGATCTGTAGCGGATTTAGACATGACTAGATTTTATCCGCATCGCCTTCGCTTGCGTTGATGTCTTAAATATATGTCAAAGATCATCGACGATCACATACAACTAATTTTTTCTATCCCTCGGGATCAGCATTATTTCTTCTATATAAAAGGTATCCTATGCCCTTTTCTGCACCGCCGACAATGCTTATACAAAATTTCATGATTATCGATTGAGTAGTTAAGGCGTGAAATCTACAAAATTAAACTAATTTCCCGTCGGGAACAGTATTTTTTTTCTGTATAAAAGGTACCCTATGTCCTTTTGTGTGCTCCTGACAATGTGTTTACATAATTTCATTACGATCGATTCAGTAGTTACGGCGTGAAATCGACCACATAAAACTAATTCTTCTATCCCAGAGGAACACTATTTGTTTTTTAGATAAAAGGTATCCTATGTCCTCTCCTATATTCCTCCTAATGTATCTACAAAATTTTATGATGATCAATTGAGTGGTTGCGGTGTGAAATCGAACACATTAAACTAATTTTACTATCCGTCGAGAACAGTATTGTTTTTCTGTATAAAAGGTACCCAATGTCCTTTTGTGTGCCCCTGAGAATGTGTTTACATAATTTCATGGCGATCGATTCGGTAGTTTCGGCGTGAAATCGACCACATAAAAATAATTCTTCTATCCCAGAGGAACACTATTTGTTTTCTAGATAAAAGGTACCCTATGTTCTTTCCTGTATCCCTGCTAATGTATCTACAAAATTTTATGATGATCAATTGAGTGGTTGCGGTGTGAAATCGAACACATTAAACTAATTTTACTATCCGTCGAGAACAGTATTTTTTTCTGTATAAAAGGTACCCTATGTCCTTTTTTGTACCCCTGACAATGTGATTACAAAATTTCATTATGATCAAATCAACCACACTAAACTAATTTATCTATACTTCGGAATCTGTATTATTTCTCTGGATAAAAGTTATCCTATGTCTTTTCCTGTATCCCTGATAATGTATCTACAAAATTTTATGATGATCAATTGAGTAGTTAAGGCGTGAAATCGACCACACAAAACTAATTCTTCTACTTCTCGGAAACAGTATTTTTTTTCTGTGTAGAGAATATCCTATGCCCATATCGGTACCCCTGACAATGTGTTTACACTCAACAACTCAAACCATAACCACATAACACTACCATGAACACACCGGCTGAAGAGGACACTAGTTGGTCCTAAAACGGCCTGAGGTAGAAGGGTGTTTTAGTCGGTAGGTCCGAGGACTTCTTCCTCGGGAATCCGACACTACCCAGTCGTACGGACGGCTGGGTGTCTTTTGAAGATTTCCCCTCTTCCACGAAAACATAAAAAAAAAATGTGTTTACAAAATTTCATGATGATCGATTGAGTAGTTAATGCGTGAAATCGGCCACATGAAACTAATTTTTTTATTCGTGAAAAACCTAATAAAGAAACAAACAAATCTCATTCGCATTTATAATATTAGTTCGGATTGTTGACTTCGCATTCTTATATTGACCACAGGTATGAATACACAAAAAGAAAAGCTAAAAAGTGTTCAGGTCCTATAGACAGATCGTATATTTTAAAAACTGAAAATTCGATATGTCTTTTTTCTTGAAACGATTTCAACCATAAACTTTCTTCAGTATTAAAATTCAAAGAGCAACCGTTAGGATAATAAATTAGACGGTTTCGCATCTTAAAGAATTGCAAACAACCAATACTTCTCTCGTTGAATAATTTACATTTAAAGGTAAAGGCACTGATCTTCGTTAAAAATCGAAAGCGTTGGCTAACACAGTATGCGTTTCATTAAAACTCTTCAACAAATCACTCACATAAAATCTTTGTTAAATCGCACGCTTTATAAACGTTGTATTTATATGGAGTATAAAATTTTTATTTATGCAAACTGTTTCAAATGTTTAATAAGGACCCTTACGAGCCAAGTGAACCGTGATATACAAAATTAATTTATGTAAAGAAAATTGAATAGTTAAATGTGCTACTAAATGCACAATCCGAAAATATCTCGACCGATTTCTTTTTATTTTGTTGTGTTCATAATCGTCAAAGCAAAGTTTGCATCAAAGAAAATCTATGGAAAATCCACGGGAAAAGTTGGAAATTTGGATGGTTTTTATATGAAAAAAATGTTTATGTTAAATTATGGTGTTTTGATATTGTTTGATATACGATAGTTGAAATATTGCGCAGAGGTTTCGTTTATGATGTAGGTATACAAGGAATAAGGGAGTACGTTGGAAGATTTAACCCCAAAGGAGGTTTGTATGGAATATAAGTATTTTATTTGTGGCCTGGTTTGGAAGTTAAAAGTTGCTCTTAATACTCATTGATAAAATTAAGCGAACACGTATTTTGGCAATTTTTATAAATCAGCTCTTAAGGGGTGATATGGGGTTGCTACGTTTGTATTTGAAATCCGAGATAGCGACATTACATAAAAGTAAAACTTTGTAGGGGTAAATGGGAAAGTCAAAGGTTTTATGAAAAAATGATATTAATTTCCGCGAACAAAGCCACGGGGAAAAGCTATTAAGTACCTAATAAACTACATTAAGTTCTTATACCTACACTTAGTCTCGTAAGACTCTTGCCAAACATTTAAAGTACTACACTTAACAGCAAATATCAGTTAGATGACGATATATTGTCAATAATTTGATATTAATATCAGCCTACTTTTTGGAGCAACTTCGATTAGGTTGATGATTCATTGACATGTTTTAGCAATGCCTGTAATTCATAAGGTGCTTAGTTTTAGTAAAATATAAATGGATTCTAAGGTCATGTAGTTTGATAATAATAATAACTGTTACTCCTACTTAAAAACCCATGTTTCTTTTTATTATTTATTTGGTAACTCTTCTTTACTGAATGTTATTCAACGTTCAGTTTTCTTATTATACCTTATTGTTTATAAAGCGCTTGATGAAATTAAGAGAACTACTTATATGTTCAGTTGGATGTACAAGAGGAGAAGAGGTTCCTCGTTTAGTTTTTAGATACGTAGTATCTATCAGAGAAGTACTATATACTGACAAGTACTTTATAATACCTATCGAATTCAGTATTTCAATTTCCTTTAGAAAGCGTTAGACTGATAAATATACAACAAACAGTGCAGAGTAGTGAATGTAGTTTTGCATTTACCGTCTATAGTTCGAATTATATTCTTAATTAAATTTCAATTTACAAACGAACATCCTTTAGAAATCCGAAAAAATGAAGAAATATAAATAAAACACTAAATCTTAAAATTCCACAAACCCCTTAAGCAGCCTTTCAAAACTCAACCTGTCATCTTACGTCAGTATAACTGAGGATGACATCTTGGAATTTATATATAGATAGCGTTTTGTTTAGCTAGGTTCCACAGTATATTGCATTTGAAAGTAATATTTAAATAATTGAAACAAACACCGCACAGAATCGTAGAATAGTTTCAACATTAAGGATCTACTCCATTGGTTGTATTGTCTTAATGAGAGATACCTTTTTTCTGTCTCAAAAATACCTTCATTTTATTGATAACAATGATGATTATAAATTAACAACGCGTTCCAAACTACCCAATGTATAATTAGTACGGAAGGGTCGCATTCTTCACTTTTTATTTCCGTTAAGACTAAAAAGAAACATTAAAAGCAAAGCAAAACCAATCAATGAAAATTTGGATTTAAATGTGTGCCCCTTTTAATTTTTAGGCAGTTCCCGAATTAATAAAGGGATAATTCATTGCGTTTACCAATTTAAGGTATAGAAGTAAAGAGAAATTTTACCGCCAAACGTTTCTTAATTATTTAATGCACTGCCATTGTAAACAACAACAAGAAACTGTTATGTGTGACATGGTATAATTCATCATCATCATAAGATCGTCACTCTTAAGACTGGTTGGATACGCACCTCCACTCTTTCCTATCCTAATCTTCGCATTTCCCTAAATTTAGAACATCCCACGTCCTAAACTATCAGCGAACAGTAATGTTATCTATGTCTACCTCTACTCCTCTTAACTCCTGTTTCTTCCTTCATGCCTGAGAAGGTGTCTTACCAACCTATCTTTTTTTATTGACTTCCATAGTCCTCTGTTCTATTCTTTTTAATACCACATCATTTCTAATCTTTTCTATCTACGATATCCACATCTTTCGCCGGTAACACCACATTTCGAACGCTTCTAATCTTTTCTTTTCCGCCGCGGCAACCGTCCATGTTACAAACTTACACCTTTAACAATATTTTTCGAATTTCTAAATTAATCGTTCGCGAGCATAAAAGTGACTTCTTCTTTTGAAGCTATCCTTTGATTTATATCCCTACTAATCCTTCCATCCTGACTTATCTGACTTCCTAGATACCTAAAATCAGCCACTTCTTCTAATTTTTCATCTCCTATCTTTACATTCGCTCTTTCCCTACTTTCTCTTCCCTTCCATACCAGTATTTTTGTTTTACTTTTATTTATTTTCCTATAATACTGTTTTGCCAATACCTCATCCGTTTTATTTAAAGCTATCTCTAACTACTCCTTGCTAGATACTAATACTATTATACCATCTGCAAATCGAAGCATACTAATCTTTTGGCCCTGAATATCTATCCCTACGGTTGTATTGTCTTTAAGGATGTTAGCCACTTCTAAAAACTCTTTGCTACCCTCCTCTGTTTCTCTTTTGTTTTCTCGAACTTAAGTTTTAATTAAGATAGGTAATTACTGTTTTGTTTTGTGCAAAATTCAATAATTTCGTTAGTTAAAATATGTTGCATTGAATAGTTAAATTGAGAATTAAAGAATGATTTTTTAATGAAGTTTATAGTATTAAATCTCCAATATAATAATTACTTCCATGGATTTTGTTTTTAAAAAATTTTAGCCATAGCCTACTACTTAGGTACCTATATACCAAGTGGACACAAAAGAAAATTTTAGAGAATCTTAGATTCTGAGCTTGCTTTTGAAAATGATTGTGCTATGTAGTTTTGGTAAGCTCACATTATACTTAACCGCAACCTCCAATCTTTAGAAAAGGGAGAAACCCCCCGTAAGAGTGCCGAAAGTAGGGGGTACCCTGCATATGCATTTTAATCAGTCTACGTCTACGTGGTTAAGCAAAGATTAAAAATAAACTAAATGATGTCAGTGTTGCTTGATATAAAATTTCATAAAAAACCCAAAAGTTGCTAACAATACCAAAATATCATATTCATAAAAATTGAGATGAGAGATTTTTCTAATGGGAAAGTAAATTTTGTTGGCTGCTGTAAATTGTTATAATTTTGCCCATATAAAATTTTAAATAAAGTCGCCTTCACATTTTTACTTATTATTTAAAATATGTAGACTTCTATTGAAACAACGGAAATAAAAAATGTTTTATTATTAAGTATATAAAAACACATTATCACAACAACTTCACAATAATAAAATAAATATTTCTAATCTACAAAATAGCAACGTCATTAACAATACAATAATAATGGGTTAATATCATAATGCACATTAATTAAAATTATTATAGTGTGCGAATTGTACCTACGATTATTTCGTTCAGTCTGTTATACATATGTATATGCAAAAATATTATGTCTACCGTGTATATGTAATGCCATATGTATAGTCAAAGTCCGAAATGTTGACGCTCCGTGGAATAAGTGGTTAGTCTTTCCGCGAGACAACGAAAAAGACTGTCTTGTCTAGCCTTGAATCATTGAATCGCAAATGCCTACACTAAGAAGAGAAGAAGTCTTGTCTTGTCTCAAATACAAACGTATAGACGTATTTGTTATTTGACGATGTTTACAATTACTTGAACGTGTTTAAAAAATACATAAAAAAATGTATAACAGTATATAAAAAAAATAAGACATACGGATTTACAGAACGTCGAGAAACACTATTTCAAAACTTGCTGCCAGATGTTACATTTTGATTTTTGGAAACACAAAGTGAACTGTTTTATATTTATTTATTTAGGATCCAACGGAGTCACAAAGGACAAAAATTTGTGGTAGGTTTCCATGAAATTCTGTAGTTTAAGTCTTGATCTTTCTGGAAGGCTCACGAACTTTAATATGCGGGCATGTATGTGCTGCTAGGGCGGAACGATTATTCCGGATTCCGGCCGTGAAAGCCTTTGTTCTTATATCTAGTTATTACCTTCGGCATCTTTACTAAAGAGGCTGCCGACTATTGATTTTATTTATATACAATCCGCCGCGGTTACTCAGTGAGCTGTGCAAGAGCCGCCGGAAATCGATATATCAATTTCTTCACATACATAAATACACGCAGGTAACAATACCTTATATTTTGATTTGCACTTATATGCTTATAACTAAATTTCTTTTTTTGAGAACAATGCTTCAAAAATTATTTTTAATAAGAAGATAAAACGAATAAGAAAATTGCGTCTGTCTCTATATATATTTCGTCCTCTCAGGAGCTGTATCTTGTCTCGCGACAATATTATGTTGGCTGGTCAATCCCAGGTTTAACTAACTCCTTTAGGCAAACCCCAAAATACATTGTAATAATTCGAACTAACCAAAATCTGACCAGAAAATACTGAAACAAAAATAGATAATTAGTAGTGGTGAGAGCAATAACTATTTTCTTTTAGCGCGTGTTGTACGAATGTTATAGTTTTTAGCATTCTATCTTAAATGCTATTTATTAAATCGCTATTTCATACTGTTTACTAAAAAATACTTGTAATGGTCATTGACTTGATGGAACGAACTAACCAAAGAAAAAATAAGCGCATTGAGCGATGTATAAACATCGTATATACACAATTTACATTCAGAATGTTATTTTGTTTTTTAGTTAGTGGACAAATGACAAGACAATATCGGATAGAATTTTCTCATACACTCACTGTAATGTCATTTTTAACACAAATTGCTGAAACCTCAAATAAAAGTCGCAAATAAGATAATATTTTCATTATGTTTATCTCTATGAGGTTGCCTTGATTTATAATTTAATCGTAAAGAAGTATTTCGGCGTTTGTCTAAAGGCGCTGGTCAAACCTAGGAGTTATTCTAGTTATTCCGCAGGACGTCAACATATAGGCCTATGACTAGCTTATTTAGGCACTTTTTTATAAAACTAAGTTCATAAAACATATAGTATGTGGCAATTATAAAACTAATGAACTAAGTAGTTTAGTACAGTTTTTGTGTCCACGAGGTTTATTTAGGGTCGAGACATTTAGTTAAAAGTTAAACAATCTCCTCGTCTTTATCCGACGATATGTTTATTTTATGATCAATGAATTAATATCAATGCTTCGGATTGGAAAACAAAGACAGGAAAACATATCTTCTAATTTTGCAACAAATCAAGGTTTTCCTTTTGTTTTTTGAGATGCTGTTTATGTTAAAATAAATAACTTCAAAACTCGATCAAGGTTTGATTAACTGATGAAGTAGAAACGGAATATATGAGACGTAATAAGATTATGATTTAGTGTCTTCTATTGGTCTTCCATATTCATCTATTTGCATAGATGGTATCAGTGGAGGCATAAATCCGTACTCCATTTTAACGTTATCAAAATTGTGTCTGGCGTTCCTGTTACTACGGAAATTATGACCGTAGTGTTCAATTTTTGCGCTGTTTGATGACTCAAGATCGGCAGGTCTTTGTAACTTCAAATTATTGTTGTTATTAATGTTATTGCTAGGATTATTTTGATAATTATTATTTGGTTGGTGAACGGTTTTAGTAAAAGCAGGAGGTGATTGTGTAGTTGCGGGTGGATGAACAGGATACCGATGATTCACCACTTGTTTGGCTCTATTTTTTCTAAAATTTGGCACGTTAATCTTGGGATAGTCATACCTTCCTCGTTTGAAATCCTTGTTTTGGTTAAAATTGGGAAAATGAATTTGGAAGAACTCCAAAGGCAAAGCGGGCAGAACCTTCGGTTCTTCTGGTTTTGCGTTGCTTGGTAAAGCGGGGAAATAAGAATGTCTTATAGCAGGAGGAATGTTAACTGGTGGAGGTTGTTGAAATGTCAAAAACGAATCAAGGTAATGGTGTTGATTAATTGGTTGTGGTACAGAATAGGGTGTCATATAGGGGAATAAATTATTATTTCCAGCAGGGCGATGTACTTCTGGTAGTAGTACTTGCTTATTCAACGGGACGTTTAACAGTCTTGGAGGTTCAGTAGGTAGTGGTAGAGTGTACGTGAAATACTGGGGATAATCATCAGGGTTTCTGTTATAATTATCATTTGTTTTGTCTTCATAATATCTCGTGTCTTTATTATAATCAGTAAGGGTATTATTTTGGGCCAATTGAGGTACAAAATACAAATTTGGTTGGACCTCCTTGCTTTCTGAAGAAGAATCGAGAGGAGCAATTTGAGAATTCGCTGCATCATCCAGTGGTAAAAGTACGTACTCTTCTGTTACATTACTTTCACTCTGAATATTGCCGGTAGGTGGTGTTGGTGATGGTGTTATTACTTCAAACTGATATGGAACATAGGATGGAGGTGGCAAGCGGGTTTCGGTATAATTAACCTTATCATCAGCGATAGGTTCAACTGGAAACAGATTGTTTTGCAAGTTTGGCTCCACCGAGTTTCTGTTTTTCTGTTGAGGATACACACTGATTTTATCCAATGTATTATTATTATTATTATTGAAATTGTTCCTAAGGTATTTTGTGATTGATCCTAAATAAATCGGGACGCTTTTTTGTATATCTACCACGACACGTGACTTTGTATCCTTAAATCCACTGAGTTTATCAGTAAAATTACCTTTCAAAGCTTCTGCCAAGGCAAATGGTTTTAATGTGTAAGATGTTGTTTTAAAATAATATTGAGTTGGAGTCACTCTTTTGCCTATTGTCGCTTCTATGTCTGGGACTACAATGGGATTTTTAGATAAATTGGTAACTTTGTGTTGAGATATCTTGGTCACTCTATACTCTGGCGTGACTGCTTCGGAAATTGTTGTATCGGTTGCTAAGTTATCCTCAACAAGAGGTTTTTGGAAGAAATCTCCATTGTATTTCACTTGACTTACACGGTTGTCTGTGATTGATTGAGCTGCTGTATGGTACACATCTTTGTTATGGTCGTCGGTTTGGATATATGATTCGATATTTTCAGTAGCGTTTTGAATTACATTGTCGTTATTAGTACCAAGTTTGGTGTTCTTCTCTGAATTATCTTCGTCACTTGTTATGGCTTCATTAATATTTAATACATCCAAACCTGTAATTATTTCGTTTGTATTTGGAATTAGTCTGGACGGCTTCTTCCTCTTCTTCAAATTAAATGTAATAACATCGTTTATGGGTGATGGTGTTTTCTGGTTATTTCGTTTTGGTTCATTCGCTTTCAAATGTAGCTTCGATCCGAACGATCCTAAATTTTGTATTTCCAGAAATGCATCGTCATAGTCGTTTACTTTATCGTAAGAACTTGGTTTGGGTTGTTTAGAATAAGTAAATCTTTTATCGTTCGAATTAGTGTATAAATCCTGATTTGTTGGATTTTTCTCGTACTTTTTTGACTTTCTGTTACCGAATCCTATTGATTCTTCAACGGTCAAATCCCTTTCATCCACAAAGGAGTTGTCTTGGTAGGACGGAATTGTGGTCAATTCCTGACGCCCCTGAAAAGAACTCAGTAAGAATACTACGAACATACTAATAAATAACAGGAAATTAATCAAAAATAGGAAGCTTGTACTGTTATACAGGGTAGTCCATTAAGCTTGCCTTGGTCTCTGGCGGTCTTGCCGTTAAAATTGGAAGAAAATGTTTTCAATAAAAAATGTTCTGGGTCAAATGATCTATCTGCGAAAAATAATTTCAGAGATGGCGGACTTCCGGATATACATTACATTACATTATTACATTTTTGATTTCAGCATCGATTTTAATGTCAGTTTGTTAAGCATAATTTTTTCCTGCGCGGTATCTTTTTGGAGTTATTTAATAATTAACGTTTGTAGTACCCTACAAAAAATATAATATCTCAGCAATTATAAGTACTAGATAAAAAGATGCGACTGTCGCTGTTGAAAAAAAAAAATGAAACGCACTTGGATTTCTATCTAAAAGCTTTTTTCAAAGCACATGATGTTCAAATTTTAAATGTTTCAAACATCAATAACTCATTCTTTTCAAATGGGAAGCTGTTCAAATATGTTCATTTTGACATCGAAATTTAGGGTAATACATCAATCTTATCTATAGTACAGTCGAAATAAGAAGGCGAAGTCCCCAATAAATAATGCACACTAAAGGCATATCGTTTTTCTCGTACTTACAAACGGAAAATGTCCTGTCTTTACTCTCTAAACACGCCTACTCCACAGCTGCGTCGAGATCTGCATCTACGTTTCATAAGAATCAATCGAATAAAATGAGACGATCGACGACATGCTTGTCTTATCATTTGTACCTACATAAAATGGGCAAATTTACAGGGTCGGCTTAATTTAGTTGGTGTATTTGTGCGAATAGTCATCTCCCTACATATATCGTTTAAGTTATTTTTTCCTTATAACTATTGTTGTCGTTGTTTTTGTTGGTGTTATTGTTGTTGTCATTGTTTTTTTATTGTTATTTTTATTGTTAACTTTCAACGAAATGGTCCGAGAAGTTTTAAATTCTCAGAGTAGAAAACTTGTTTGGAATGTTATTAATTATTTTCAAAGAAAGAAGGAAACAAGTAGAGAAAACATCTCCGTTATAAACATAGCGGCGGAGGTTTTGAACATTAGTTGCAGAACCGTATCCCGGATACGAAAAGAAGGTGGAACTTTTAATTTAAAAACAGATGTATTATTTTGTAAAAAATTATTTTTATGAAATTAAAAATAAACAATAACGCATTCATTTCTCTTCAATGCTGACTATTTTTGAAGTCGATTGACCTCCTCTAATTCGAGATAAACTTAATTAATATTTTTAGATGTGTGGGTATGTATGAATACAGACTCATTCAATCTGTTTTGATGTACAATCGAAATTATATAAATATTATTGCATTGAATTATCTTAGATCTTACAATAACTTTTTCACCATACTGTAGCACGACTACTATCTTAAGCCGGTCCTGTAAATTTGCTCATTTGAAGTAGGTACAGACAACAAGACAAACACGTTTTCAACCGTCTCATTCTATTCGATTGATTCTTATGAAACGTACGTGCAGGACTCGACGCAGCTGTGGAGGAGGCGTGTCTAGAGAATAAAGACAGGATATTTTCCGTTTGTAAAAACGAGAAAAACGATATGCCTTTAGTGTGCATTATTTATTGGGGACTTTGCCTTCTTATTTCGACTGTACTATACTTCATAATACTCCGGATGTAAGGTAATCATGAACGTAGCTAAAGATACCCAGAAGAGGCAAATTTTCAGTAGCTGTAAATTTATATAGATTAAATTTGCTTGATTTTCATATTTGTAGACTTCGTGCTGATATCATAACTCGTCAGAACCTCTTTTAGGAGGGGCAATGAGCTTGCCCCTACTTATATATGCCCATGACGATAATTAATTTCTTTCGTCTTCGTTTCCAATGTTCAAAGTATCTCTCAAAGCCTTCAGAAGCCTTCAGCTTCACCGTCATTTTAACTTTTAATCATATCCAAAGCCCCGTTCCTATGATCATTTTACATTTATTAAGGCGATCTAGCATCTTGGTATTCCAGGCGAAAATTCGAGGAAAATCAGTGATGGAAGTGCAGGCGTATTGTAGTAATATATCACTATTACAGAAATTTGGTCTCATGTAACGCACACAATCGCTCAAAATTTCATAACCTCTACACAGAAGGGAGCAGGTATTGTTTGTTTTTTAGGACGAAATATCTATTAATAAGTGTCTTTATGGGCTTTATTGACACGTTTAATGCAGTAAAAGAGGGCTACTTTCTTTATGCTAAAGACCAAAGACATCAAAAAAGGAATTTCTCCTATTCCTTAACGGCCTAACTCAGGCAGTGCCCATGGTCATACATTACCTCAGCCTAGGGCTGCCATCCGTCTGGATTTCCCCGGATTTGTCGTAGTTTGAAGAGGGTCAGGGGACCGTCCGGCAGGGGTTTTTAAAAAGTGTAACCCGGACACTTTCGTTGTCAGGTGAAATCCAATTTTTTTTTATGGATAAGCGATGAATTCATTGACAATACGAACGTAGAGAGAGCGTTTTCGCTAATCACGCAGCAATAGACGAAAGAAAGAAACTCGCTAAACATACACACGGTTTCTTCTCTGATCAAAATCAAATATAATTTCAAGGACCTGAGTTGTTCCGACTTTTACAAATTCTTATTGGAAAAGAATGATATTTTAGCGAAAATTGGGAAGACTGAAGAATAGTAAAATAAGTAAAAAAATTGATCTTGTTAAAATTAAAAGTTTTAGCAGTTACTTAAGCACTTTTAATTTACAAATATTATTGGGATTTGGCTACCATATAATGATTAATTCCAAAAACAAAATGTTTCTAATTATTTTTGTTAACATATTATCTCATAGTGTTTAAATTATATTAAAAATGTCTATTTTTTCTTGCGGTTACATACGTACTTAATTCGATTATAATTACAAGCTGTATAAATGAATAAAAATGAAAAATTATAACCCTGCTTTTATTTTTGTTGCAAAACATATTATTTCAGCGGTGTACAGGGAAACAATCGTATTTCGTCTAAATGCCTGGGATTTTTACCATGTTTATCCGGCGTCGGCAATTTAAGTGACGACAGCCCTATCTCAACCCAATCTCAGAAATTCAGATTCCAAATTTTTTGGAAGACTTAATTGGACAAGCAAGCATGTTTCAATTTTAATACTATGTATATCTTGCATCTCTCCAGTGATTTTTGACTCAAAAATATAATCAAATGTGGTAGTCACATACTTTTTTAACAAAAAGGCGTTGGTATGAATTTTTTTGAATTTACATAAAATTGTATTCTAAAAATGTATCGTCTACCTCATAGAAGGTAGGGTAGACTGGGTACGAAAGTGCCAGTGGGCGGTAGTGACAATCGTTGTATTAGCGAAACTATAAGGAATAGCGCGTTTGGGGCGAGGGAAGAAAGAACCCCCGTGCGTGTCTGAACAGGCGTCATTGTGTTGCGTCAGCCGCCGCGCGAAGTTAGTGTTGCTAGAAGCCTGTATTACTTTTCGACGATCAAAATAAGTATTTTTGTTCGTTTTCTTTTCGTGATTGTCGCTATATGTAATATAGATAGACTGATGAGTATTTTTATTCATTACAAGCTAAAAACTGACTGTTAAACAGAACTGATTCCTTGTATGTAGGTTATACAGTATCGTCATGGCGATTTTATTTTTGTGAACACGTGCGTTGGGTACGGTTGTGCCATATTTCCTAGGGATGGTTGTGACACAAGAAAAAATTTTTTTTGATTCTAGATGCCTAGAATTCGGATCAGAAAGGCCGAGAGAGCAAAGAGCGACGTAGAAAATTATGAAAACGTGTATAATGAAGTGAAAAAGGGAAAGTCAATAAGACGTTATGCGGAAATGTACAATGTTACTCGAATGTCTTTATTACGATACATACGTAAACGTGATGCAGTTGCGGCGCGCCATAATGAAGATAACATCAGAATGGGGTATGTCGGTTATAATAAAGTGTTCTCTAAAGAACAAGAACAGGAACTATCAAAATATATAACTCACTGTGCGGAAATATATTTTGGCCTTGCTCCCAAAGAGGCTCGGAAGTTAGCTTTTGAACTTACCACTAAATAAAATTTAAAACGTCCTGCTACATGGGTTGAAAATGAGATGGCTGGAGAAGAATGGTTCCGTTCATTTATGAATTGGAATTCTGAACTGTCTGTTCGAGTAGCTCAAGCTACTAGCCTCTCAAGAACAACAAGCTTTAACAAAAAAGCGTGGATGCATTTTATGACAATTTACAAATGGTTCTTGACAGACACGCTTATGAGCCACAAGGTATATCAAATGTTGACGAGACTGGGTTAAACATAAATAATTTTATGATTACTTAATATTAATAAAAAAATTGAAAAGAAAAAAAAAGACTTATAAAACAATAATGTGATTTGCACGTAAGCGCCATATTAACAAGTAATGTAATGATTCTTGAAGAATACTTAATAATTAAGAATTAAGCAAATATTCCAACAATAAATGTGATTAAAGACTGTTCTGTTGTATTTCTTAACCTGTCACTACTAACCCCAAGCACTGTCACAACTACCCCTGGGATGTGGTCGGTTGTGACACTTTTTCTTTTTTTTTTTTAAACTTGTGCCTGTCAGTTAATATTTTATTTAGGGATAAAATTGAAATACCAGTATGTTGGACAAACTGTGCTTTACCGTAAAAGCACCTTCCTTGTTAGATAACTGACATAATTACAAAATTATGGGCGATCATATGAAAAATGGCACATTCGTACCCAGTCTACCCTACTGATAGCACTTGGAGCATAATTTAATAATGTAATGCAACATTCTTAATATCTTGAATTATTCAAGACCTTAATCTGAAGAAATCAAGATATCTCTTGAATATTTACCTTATAATCCACCGATTCGGTATCAATATCATGTTGATTATTAGGCTTTGTAGTGGTTTCGCTGCTATAACCGTAAAAAGTTCTGTAGTAAATGTCCTCATTTTGTGTTACTTTTTCATTTAGTAGCGATCTAAACAGAAAAGAAAACGATAAATATACTTATTAGCACAAAAATACCAATTATAATAAACGTTAAATAATAGAAAGGTAAGTACTAAACTAAATGCTTGAAGCCCTCGCATTTCATGTTAATTATCTTTTGTTGTCTTAATTTATTATCGTACAATAGGAATAAAATTTACGAAGACATTCACTTTCCTATCGCCCTGAGGCCCTTACACCTAAAATTCACTGACTGCGGTGAAAGTAACTGTCATTTGAAGAATGAAGCAACGAACTTAAATTGAAATTTATTTCTTTTAGATTCAATTTATTTCTTAATTCGCTGTTTTACATATTTTAAGAATAAGCCATTTCTCTTGTTGACGTTATTATTAATTTATAATGTGTTTTTCCTGTTGGAACTGCCAACTCTAAAACATCGTAATAAATTAACATACTAATTGTAAGTATAATCAGCGGTAACCACCTAATTTGCTGTTTAATATGATACACATTTTTATTTTGACACTGACCGAAATTTTAATAGATATATTATTCTAGTTTTTTCAATTTATTTTTTACGTTTTATGCAAATTTCACATCTCACTTGAACAAATCCTTCCACCATTCAGAGAATCCTTTATCAATAGGATTAATACTTGTAAAGTATTTGAGTAAAAGTATTCGAACAAATACTTTTATACTTTAATGTGTATAATTGAATTTGAAACACTTTTCAATGAAAATGATTATCTGTATTTAAATACAAATATTCCTTTTACTTGATTTTGCAAATGCTTTTCCAAATACTTATTATATTTTTTAATCTGTAAACAATTTCTAAATAATTCAACTCAATAGAATATAGAATTATGTATAAACTGTTCAGAAAGTTCTAGAAAATACTACAAATGGCACAGTGAGCGCCATCTGTAGTACTATGCTACATTTTAGGATTACGTATACTCCAACAAGGTCCACTTGTGTGGATATCTACTTGCTGAAAACGAATCCCGGCGTAGCCAACCTCAACGTGATAGGCACGTTAGCTTAATCGAATAAAATAATTCGAAGT